TTGGCACATCGGCATCCCAGTCTGAATCTTCGGGGCACGTAAAATGTCCGTAGAAGACTCCGTGAAAAATAGGTTTATCCATTTATATTCAGCGCTAGGAGGCGATTAAAATAAACTTTTACTTAAACGGCAATTTTATCTTAAAATTTAATTTAAAAAAGCTTCGAGTTCTCTGAAATTCTCATCTTTCTTATGACTCATTGGTACTCGTAGATGAGTTCCGAAGGCGTAATGTGCTGCCACGGTGCGCAAGATGCGGTTTATTATCCCGTTGGAGTACTGTTGTAACTAAGGTAAGGCCAATATTGGGTATAGATGTATTGATGAGACTAAAAAAAACAGTTTTCTATTTTAAAGTTTTTTTTCTAATAATGTTTATGGATTTTGACGTGAGGTTAGGGTGATTGGGGATGACAAGAGGTTTGTGTCTAGCTAATGTGATTTACCGAGACCATAAAATGTAGAGGTTACGAATTATTTTGACTTAAACTAGCTGTACACTGGAGTTAACCAAAATTTATGTTACACTAAGTTGGAGTGAAAGAGAAGAAGAAGCAAAAGGAGAAGAAGGATGAGGAAGATGATTAGTAAGAAGAAGAAGCGGAAGAATAGAAGGAGAAAAAAGGGTAAAACTCGTAAATTTTACCTATCGGTTACCTGAAGTTACCAAGAGTTGCACTGATGTCGTTTATGTTATTGATAGCAACGTGGGTACTCCATGTAAGAAAAGGTATCTTAATGGAATTCCAAGGACAATACGATCAAAAAGCGCCGAAAGCAGGCAAAGGGGAGTCTACTTCGAAACGTCTCACATCGAAAAGGAGGAGCAGTTGTTGTTATGTGTATAGTAGGTTCTAAAGAAGTCTTATAGACTTTAGACGATATTAAGCGATTAGGATTATAGCTTAAGGGCTTATAGAAACCTTGAAGGTTATACAAAGGAATTATAAGTAAGAGTGTACAGGAAGCGCGGGAGAGGTGGGGAATATGCATGTATCTCATCGGCGGGATGGATGGATACTTAGGATCTGCCCAAACTACGACCACACAAAAGGCCACACCATCTTGGTCTTCATATCTTACATAAAGTAGTGTTTTTTCATACATCATTGAGTAACCAGAGTTATTTAAGGGATTGAAAAACATGAATCATTTTTAAACACTCCGATCATTCAATCCAATCTAATCCTAGAAGTTATCTGTAGTGGATGCTTATTTCTTTTATTAGCTGGCACAAGCAATAGAAGATGATTTGTTGGTAAGTTTTGATTTAGGCTAATAGCACAAAACTATTATCGAAAGCTAGTCAACGTAGGCTCTATGGCTAACATTATACCATCGCCCAGAGAGTATTAATGACAGAAAGTTAAGCAAGACAATCATGGAATTGGCAAATTTAGCTATCATATATACGATCACTAGGTAGTCTCGTCAACCTACTTATAAACAAAATAAGTAGTATACTCTATTGATATAGTAAATACAACTTTGCTTCATCGGCATTCCCACCACAGAATGTGAAATGCAAAAATGCCTGGCCTGCCTTAAAATGCACATGAATGTGTCGAGATTATTCGCTACACCACCTCAACCCGATTTCGAGTCCTGCTGTGGGCGCTGATGAGACCAGTTCAGTCGATGTCGAAACTGCAGTCCACTCCAGCCGAAATGAGCATACCTTTAGACAAGCAAGGCTATGCAAAATTTACTGCAAATGTAAGATATACCCGTATGATTAGGGAGAAATTCAATTAACAGTCCTTAATCACCCTACAGAAATAGTGGGAATACACCTCTTAGGAATAAACAGTAATCAATTTTCGTATTTAAGTAGTCGTGGATTAACACTGTGAGAGAGTTTGGCTCCAACTTTAGCTTATAGCCATATTAATCATTTTAAGCTTCGCCTAATTTAAGAGCATTCCTAATTTAAAAACTACTGACTCAGTGCATAAAAAAGAAATTTTTTGTTAACAAAAATTCCGTAAATTAACCAATAGATGGGATGGGAAGACCAAATCTACTGTTAAGGCGGGATGGTAGGAATCTTTTTTGATGCCTCGACTAGATAGGTTGAGATCAGGTTGGGTAAGGATGCGTAATGACAACACACAAATCTGAGATTTTTAACTATATTCTTTAATATCGTTGCTAAGGCATTCATTTTGTATGAAAGTGCATAATGAAGATAATTGTAGGTCGATCTCACTAGAAGATGACGGCTGATTCTAGTTGTACTGCAGCCATTTGGCTTTAATATGGCGTTTAGGTTGACGTAGTCCTGGAGACATCCTTCCTCGTTTCGGGTGAAAAGGGATCGAGTTTTCTTCCATTATATGCTGGACCTCACCAGAGCTGGAACTCATTCATTAAGGTTCAACAATCCAAGAAAAGGTATAACTGGGATTGCATAATCTCGTACGTCTGGTTTGGTTGATGAGGTTGATCTGACATGCTGGAAGATTGTGTGTGAAGTTAAAAGCATCACTGAGCGAAAAAGTTGAGTCGCTTTATTTTAGATGGCTGCTCAACATCCTCTCTCTCCTTCAATCTATCAATCAAACATGAGTAGTTCTTACTCAACTTTTTACCATCTTTCCTCACATTCAATATATTCCGCAATCTATGTATCTCAATAGTCTCTATTAGCTTACTTTTAACAAGATACGTACCATATTCAGCAAACTTAATTGCTTGAGACCAGTTTATCTCATGATTAGTCTCTGGCATGTATTCAGCCATTTCTGACCATTAGACCCAGATACCCGTAAAAACATTTTTGTGTTATCATATTCCTCGACCGAAACGTATCACCAACATAAATTTGACTACAGATCACACAATATTGTAGCAGCCGGTTCTCGATAATGGTTCATATTTCTCTCCAAAAAAGTGTGAGGGTTTCATTGAACAGCTTTTGTTCTCCATTTTCTCAGAAAGAAGGCAAAAAGCAAGATTAGGACGTAATCAAAGGTCTCAGCTTGTCTATCTTTGACAAAACAGTCACTGTTTGAAAATTAATTCCTCAGTAAAGAGATATTCTTATCAATTAGGCCCAAATAAATAATAGATGTTCAGTCATTCCATCTCTTTAGTCAAATGGCTGCTCTCCACTAGCCTCATACTCCTAATGATCACTGGCTTGAAGATTCCAACCTTACTCTTGTGACTATGGTTGGAAAGAACATTCCGTAAAGAGCCAAATTATGTTGGCTTCCCGATTTGCTATCTTATCTAATGATGATCATAACATCCGAAAAGGGTAGGGACCTATTCCCTTCCATTTCCATTGTGAGCCTGATACTCCTTTCGCGTTGGTTAAGTGAAAGTAGGAAGCTATCTAAGATTTCCTTATCATGAAGCCAGATGAGAAAATATTCATGTATATATCTAACCAACAATTTAGGGGGTTAGCAGTGCCTCTTCCAGATAGTGTTCCTCAAACTGGCTAAAAGTAATTGTTCGTCAAAATGAGACATGAGCAAGATCCCATCGCAAGTGTTTGTGTCTGTACATAAAAACTACCGTCAAAAATAAAATAATTGTCACTAATGGATAGGTTAAAAATTCTAAGTATACCGGTTATACTCAAACTTGTTCCTTGTGTAGTCTCTGGCTGCTCCTGGATGGTTTACAATGGAGCCTGAATGGCTCCTTAAACAGGGATATTTGTGTAAATGCACACAACATCAACATTTACTAGTCTATCTTTCTCAGAGATCATCTACTGATCAACCAATTTGTCAATCTCAGCAGCTTTCTTTGATTTTGAAATGCATAAAAATCTTAAGATTTTATGCATCACGCTTCTTTTTTTAGTTAAAAGCCGTAGACTCTAAAGTAGTAAATTCACTTTCCACTTCTCTATTACGCCATTACTTACGGATAACTTAAGGGCATTCCTTAAACTAGTCTTAAGTATCCCAGTTTGATCTTTTATTGAAGTCATCTAAGTATCTGGTTCATTTAAGTAAACTTGCATTTCTTTCTACACAATTTGACCAATCCATTACCCTATTGATAACTCAAGATTGCTTTGTCATGATTATCTGATCACAATAAGGGATCACCTCCAACTCAATGCTATTCTTCACCTCCTTAGGTAACCAATCCGATAAGTTTATTAACTGGACAAGTATGTCAAAAGAATGGTTTACTTTATTTCGAAAAGCAAAATTCAATTCTCCTTTCGTTCAAGATTTAACACTATCATATGATGGACGAAAGCTCAATGCATCTTCGTTCGAAACGAGAGAAGATATCTCGTGAATTGCATCAACATGAACGCCAAATGGCTGCCGTACAACAGGAACCAGCTGTATTCTTCTAGTGAGATCAACCTACGAATCTCTTCATTTGGCACTTTCATATGAAAGGGTAGTCTCTCCAACATTTTTTTTCTTAGGAGATTCATCAAAACCATTCACTCTTCATATTATTTCTCTAAACATAATTGAGTAAGGTAAATATTTTTGCAGAATAGCTATTCATTCTACTTAATC